GGGTAGGCCCCTGGCATATTTAATATTTCCCTAATGGCTTTGATAAGGGACCCTACTAACATTTTTCAATGGGTTTTAGGGGCCAACCCAGAGTGGGAGGTCTAGTGTTTAGGGCTATGAATCGCGAGCCCCTTATAACACCATGGGTTCCTAACAACAGCAAATATCTGGTTTTGAAGGAACGCATAAAACATAACAAATATCCCTTCAAAATCAGGAAAGATGGGAAAGAGAAAACATAACTCGAGAACTCACCACCAAAGGCCTAAATGCATCGAAGGTCGACCTTTGACATGAGTTGACGGACAAAAAAAAAGAAAAGCAACAACACGCCGAATGAAACTGAAACGGCCAAGCAGTATGTGTCTTGGCCTGTTTGGATTGCATTTTGTTCTTCCATAAGTCCGTGTGTCCAGACTGTAGGGTTGGGCAGCTTGCTTTCGAATGTGTGCCGGGGTGGGGGGTGGGGGGGGTTCAGGGTTGGGGGTTTAGGGTATGGGGTTTGGGAGGATTTGGATCGTGTTGTAGGACCAAGCGAGCAGGAATCCTTTTGCAAGACAACTAATTATGATCCCAGAGGGTCCACATATACAACCATTAGGGAATTGGGACCCATGATTCCTTCTATAGTATGGCATTTTGGGGCCTAATTCCCAATACTTGTATATATGGACCCTCTGGGGATTATGGCTTTACCAACTTCTTGAAAAATCGAAGCTTACAGTTACAGATTCCTTCAGGACAAACTCAGTTCTTCTGCGATCTCTCTGCAACAGCCCCCATTTTATGCTTCCGCTTCACGCCACACAGCTTTTCAGTGCTGTGCCTACAACCTGGAACCCACAGAAAAGGTTTTACACGGACTGCTAGCTTGTGCCGAGAATTGTGTATGGTGGGGGGCTCTACATTTTTGCGGGGAGCGTTTAAGCGCTCCATCTCAAATTCTGAACGCTGACTTCTACGCCTTTGCACCTACATTCCCCGGTCCCCTCAAAAGAGCACGGGTTTAAGGCTTACCTAAACCCCAAAAGTATGTGAAATAATAGCCCGAAACCCATAATAACAGCCATAAAGGCCATTATTTTACATACCTTTGGGGTCCAGGTAGGGTTCAGAAGGACACCCCATGCCTTGCACCTCGTCAACCAATGCCTAGCAAGCCTGGGCCCCAAAGTTCTGAAACCCCAGAACCTGAGGCCTATCGTAGGGGCCTAAATATTTACTAACAGTATGGTTCCATATTCCTTGTAGAATTATAATATTTACTTACATTATGGTTCCATACTCCTTGTAGAATTATAATATTTACTTACATTATGGTTCCATATTCCTTGTAGAATTATAGTATATGGTACCTCAAATGGACCTCAAAATGATATTGGTAATTATTTCGGCCCCTGCAGTAGATTCCTGATTGGGGGATTGTCAAAATTGTGGTCCTTTTTTTGGGTCCCTATTATAATACGGGGCCTAATTTAGGGGACCCAAAAAGGGACCATAATTTTGACAATCCCCCAATTGAAAGAGACCAGGATACATCCGGCGATGGTAAGCTCGATCTGATGGAGCCTTTGGGCCGCTGATGAGAGATTGCAGCAGAGTTCCGACAATATAGGGGTAGTATAGGGTTTGGGTTTAGGGTTTAGGGTTTAGAGTTCAGAAAATCTTGGGGTAGTATAGTAACATAGAATATAGTGGTATAGGGGGAAGATAGGGATTATATAGGGATAATGGAGAAGAACATTGAAACTGCTATTTAGGGCTTAGGGCTTTAATCACCAGAGCAATGATGATGTAACGGCAGGAGAGCAGGCACACTTTTTTGGTTGCTTTCGTACGTCGATTTCGGAAGGTGATCGACCTGGACACTTGCATGATTCGGGAACAAGGTTGTTGCCTACCCTGCACCCCAAACCCTAAACCCTAAACCCAAAACACAAATCCTAAACCTTCAACCCTAAGCCTCTTAGACCCTGAAGCCCTGGCCCCATGATCGACGGCCAACGCTTCATGGGCTAACTCATCCCCGGCAAGACGGTTTAGGGTTTAGGGTTTAGGGTTTAGATGCAGAACAACTCGGGGCTGCTACAGGGAACTAAAAGCAACCCCGAGCCTCTAATCCGGATCAATGTGACAGATAATGGAAAAGAAAATGGAAACTACAATAATGGGGCATATTAGGGTTAAAATTTGGTTAGATAGGGATAACGGAAAAGAACATGGAAACTACTATTTGGGGTGTAGGGTTCGGGGTTTAGCGTTTAGGGATCCTTTATACTTTTTGGATTGTTTCGTCACGCTCCCTCGACCGGCCACACCTGTTCAGTTTCTTGAGGACTTTCCTCCTGATCTTCATAGAATCCGATAGCTCGCTGTTTCACGTTGTCTAGTAACCATCAAGCCAGTCGGCGGGGTGGTCTACAATGGATCCAAAGACGCGACCTTTATACTTTTTGGGGTATGGGATTCCTTGTAATCATGTAAAAAGGACCCTTTTTTTTCTTCCTGGGGTAATGTGGGTTAAGTAATTTTACACCCTAGAAGTAGCCAAAGCTATATGGATTTGTCCATGAATTGCGGGACCCTAATGTAGACCGCATTATTATGGGAACTAAATGGTGCCCTGGACTTAGGAAATCTGGAGATATGCTTCCAAAGATAGGAAACATGGAACCAGGATTAGCCCTGGAATCGAAATAAACCCTAAACCCTAAAACCCTAAACCCTAAAACCCTAAACCCTAAAACCCTACACCCTAAAACCCTAAACCCCAAAACCCTAAAGCCCTAAACCCTAAAACCCTAAACCCTAGACCAGCATTAGCCCTGGAACAATTTCCGACCCTGTCAGGTGGCATCTAGGGTTTAGAAGGTTCAGGGTACAGTGGGGGCTCGTAATGCAACATGCTGGGCAAAACATGACGACCTCGCCCGACCTCGCTGGTTTAGCTAGAAGGTAGCTCCAGATTTGCGGAACTTGAGGTTATGGAATTAGAAAAAATGACCTGAGCATGTCTACTTTCTGACCATAGATGGGCCCGGTAGCCTTTTACTTCACTCCTTGCCAAGGTTTCGTTCTCATATTTCATGATATAAGCATCTGGTACCACATAAAGGCTGCTCAAATCCAAGAAGCCCTAAACCCTAAACCCCTAAACCTAATTTTCAACCTCTGGAACACATACCTACACGACTCAAAGCGCCAGATCCCGAGCCCTCAGCACAAAGCATTAAATCCTAAACCGATAAACCCTAAACCCCTACCTAAACCCCAAAAGTATGTGAAATAATAGCCCTAAACCCACCATAACAGCCATAAAGGCCATTATTTTGCATACTTTTGGGGTCCAGGTAAACCCTAAACCCAGCACAACCCTACAGACCTGGAAAAAGTCCAGGTTTAAGCGCATCCTCAAGAAGATGGCAGCTCGGGAAGCAACAGCATCTTTTGCGCGTTCTACTTGCAACCATAACAATTTACGTAGCCAATAGAAAAACTTAAACCTTTTTGAGCTTCCTTTTTGGGTCTCCATAATAATGTTTAGATCTTTTTTTCCCCTGGTTATCGGGGAAGAGAGACAAAGAGCCGCATAGGCTATTATTCTGCATACTTTTCGGGTCCAGGTTTTGATGATGCAGGTGAAGGGCATGGTGTCTCTCAAGAGGGCAATTGACCGAAGCACGCATGGCAGGTTTCTGGGGCATCGGATGGTCACTGTCATTGTTGTAGTAATATAATCCCCCTTAAGTGATAGCCTATGGCTTTGGGTATATTATAATAAGATCACCATATACCCCATATTCTATCTACTTAAGGGAGACTGTGCGTAGTCGGGGAGGTAGAGGAAGAAGTCAAATGAGGGCCAGAAGCCAGATTCATGAAGCATGCAGAACCAACTTACAGAACTAAACCCTGAACCCCCAGACGGCATGTAGACCCTTAATTTCCCTAAATCCTAGATAAAGCATTGATCACACCGCAAGCAAGGAAGTGAAAGTTTGGCTGTCCGCTATGGAGCTGCCAGGCTAGCTTTTGGATTGGGTTTAGGATTTAGGGTGGGGTTAAGGTGTTCAGGGTTTAGGGCTTAGGATTTAGGGTGGGCTTCAGGGGTTTGGGGGTGTGAGGTAAACTGGGGGGTCTGTCATCATGGGTGTTCGGGCTGTTGAAGCCGGGGTGTCTTGATATGTAGGGTTTAGGTGTTAGGGCTGCCACCGCAATATTCAAGGGTTTCAGGCTTGTACCCCTAGGGTTGTAGCCCTGGTTTATGGGATCCCTTTAGGGGACTCTGGGGGATTGCATTGCTTCATATGAGGGCTATATTAGGCCTATGTTGGGGAAACCTTCTGGGGGTAAAACCTTAGGGGTACAACCCAGGAATCCTTGAAATATGGCAACTGGAGAGGCTGCGACCCTCAACTGAGGCATCGGGGGTTTAGGGTTTAGGGTTTAGGTCCTGTTTGCTATCGGTGCTGGGGGTAGCGGGTAGCTTCCTCTCAGTGGCGGATTTGGGCTACCCCAGCCCGCCGAAGGTAAGGACCCAATAGATATATCATCAGACTGTAATAGGGTCCAGTTTGGGGGATCGGGGATAGCACAATACTCTTATTTCTGTACTCTATATGTATGCATGTATGTATGT